GAATATACTTTATAAAAAAGTGCACACATGGGATAACATGTTAAACATTAAAATATTAATCCATTAAATCGTCAATGGTGTATTGCTAAAGCAAGCCCTTCCCCCTTTGCTTCTTTCCTTTTTACAAGTATAAGTTGCCATAATTTGGAGGGTCTAATTCCCCTATTTTCCTTGTATCACTGGAGCTATTGCCCCAGGGAGGATCCGAGCCTCCAATAGTTAGAATTAAGTCTTAATTTTAATAGGGGTTGTATTTGTCCAAATACCTTGTGAATTTTTGATTTGCTGTCTCTTATTAAATGTAAAGCTTAAAGTATAGGGTCTTCTTGTTTCAATCTTTACAAAAGATTCTTTCAAGGATTTGCTCCACTTAGTTATTTCAAGATCAATTGATCTCCCTTCCAATAGTTCTAGATATTGGGCCTTACTTAGTTTTCCTGGGAAGCCCTTAACCTTACTTACGATACTTCCATCTTCCTTCTCTAAGTAGTAAACCTTTGGCATAACAAAAATTCCTTCCTTAAAGATATGCTCTAGTTTTAGTTTTCCAAGGGTGGCTGAATGAATATAATTTTCAGGTAATGGTCCATCTAAAATTAGTGAGTCAGTATCACTGTAGAAAAGGTTTAGTCCAAGTTTTAAAGCATCTAGTTTATATTGATTGATAATCATCCTACTATAGGCTGTTACAGCGGCAGCTATTGCCACATTGGTGTTATTACCTAAATTGGTTAAGTGTTTAATTAGTCCTTCCACACCCTGATTTTCTAGAATCCAATTCTTATTTAGGAGAAGAGTGACCAGGCTTAACTCACCAAAATTTATTGCATTTTGTACTATCCAAGCAGGTGTTATTTGGTTCATCTGTTTAGAAGTATAGATTCCGTGAGCGGTTAAAGTAGGGTGCATTCCAAAACGCCCGTACATTGAATTCATAAGTAATTTGGCAAGATTTCTTATTGTGGGTTGGCTATTTCTCTGAGCTTCTATCTTCATGGAGTTTAATTGGGTTATAAGTTGTAAGAAGGTATTGGCCCCTCTCTTAAAAGAATAGGCTAGTTTAATTTCTAGTAATTGGTAACCATTTTCTAAAGCAAATTTGAGTTCCTCAGAGAAGAAAAGTCCACTAAAAGTACCTCCAGGGCAAATGAGTCTACCTTGTAATTTAATAGGTAATAGTCCAATGTACTCATTAGCAGGTGCTCTTACGGTTGCTTCGAGGAATCCAAAGAACTCACCCTTTAAAAACTCTTCTTTTGTTAGAAATTCAACTAACTGGGGCATACCTACTGGCATAGATTTGCACATAGCTGTGGGATACAAGCTATTCACGTCATAGTAATAGCCTTTTCCTATTAAATGTGGTCGATAAACATCTACTATTCCACCACAATAACTTTCCCTTAATAGTGAATCTATGTTATGACTTAAGTCATAGACTTTTAGACCTTCTTGATGAAGAAGGGGTAATTGGAGTGTTCTCCAAATTCTAAAGGCTGCTGAGGGTGCAGAGTATATTTTTAAAGGATCTATGGGGAACTTAGTTATTAAAGTTTCAAAGTATTTTACTAAAACTTGATAAGTAGCCTTAACATCACCTAGAATATAGAATTCTGAAACTCTAAGAAAGGACCAGGTTTTATTCTTAAATTCTTTTACCATTTCTTCATAGTCAATTAGGGAAGTTCTTTTGGGTTCAAATTTAGAATAAGGAGGAAGGAAACCTTCATAGTTAAGTGTATCTTTTATTGACCCATTCCAAAAGTAATGGGGGAAGTGGTCTTTTTGTGTCTCGACACCCCAATCTTTGGCAAGTTTACTTAAAGCACCTGGTAATATTTTTATTGAATCTTTAATTGTAAGAACTACCTTTCCCTTTTGAGCAACTTTAATTGAAATTATCTCACCATCCTTCATAATAGGGTAGAATGCTAAGTTAGGGATATTAAGAAGAGAAGGCATAGAAAGTATGGCATCATACCCGCCAAAATTATGAAAATAACATATTCTCCCTTTATTATTTTTTAGTAGGTCTATCCAAAATTGTTCTAACATAGTTGTAGTATTATACCCCCATTGACTAATATCAAAGATTCTATAAGTCTCACCATTGTACCAGGCTGCCATATAAACTACATTTATACCCTCGGGTTGTTTGATTATGGCCTCAAGGTCTGCTGTTACAATACTTTCACTTGAATTAAATTCTTTCTTAGAAGGTACTAGGGTTTCTATCTCTGAAAATTGTGACATTACACCAAGGGGGGATTTTTGATCTTGTTCAAATGGGTCGTAATTATCAAGTTCAGGGGTTTCTTCCTCAGAGTCATATTCCTCTGGTAATACAAATGGATTGAATCCCAATTCCTCTATTCTATTATTTAAATCAAATTTGCCTGCTCCGGTAATACCAAAAGGCTCTGTTGTTCTCTCCTCATTATTATTAGTTATGGCTAGATTTTCCTCATGGAGGGCTGCCCATGGGCCAATCGTAGGAGTTGCAGGGGCACTTGAAGTTCCTCCCCCTTGGGCACCTTGGGGTTTTTTTTGAGTAATTTGGGCCTCCACTATTCTAGCTAGGGTTTCAACCGTAGAAGAGACTTGAGAAATTTGACTATTAGTTGTTTCAGCTAACCGTGTTAGCATAGACTCCAAGTTATTAACCTTATTTACTAAAGGAGAAATCTCCGTTTTGATAAGCTCTTTAATTTGTGATACTTGCGAAGATACATTCTGGACTTCACCAGAAGTTTGTGAGACGGGTGTTTGCGGTATGGGTTGTGATGGAACTTGCGATGGAAAGTTTATTGTAGCACCGAGGGATGAGGCTACGCCTTGTACTAAACCCTGAACTATTGGAGTCCAGTTAATACTTGATGAAAGAGGTGACACTGTTTGCGAAGAAGAGACTTGCGATGAAGATTTAATTGCTTCTATTAACTCCCTGTTAGTAGATATTATAGTTGATTTAAGCTCAGTAGAGAGAGTACTAATTTGAGAATTAAGGATAGCTAGTTTCTCTTCAGTATTTTTACGAGTTCTTTTTTGAGAAGTTTTAACTTGTCTATCAGGAGTATACTTAGATTGAGGAAGGGCTAAAGGATTTTCCCAGTTTACAGCAGGAGCATGTGAACGATCAAAGACTTTGATTAGAGATGACACAACAGCCTCCGGTTGTCTTTCTTCTGGTGTACCAGACTGAGTTTCAAAGGCTTCGATAAGGGAAGTAATTTGATGAGTAAGTTCTTCAAAATTAGTTGTTCTTTCAACTATGAAGCCTTGACCCACTGTTCTGACTTGACCTGAATTTAGAAGTACTTCTATGATAAAATTAAAATAGGGAGACTCATGATTTGAGCTATTAATTATAGTTTTAATATTCTGGATGACTGTTTCCACGAAGTCACTTGAATAGATAGAAACCATAGGGATACCATAATAATTAAGAGTTGGAGGGATAGGGTTAGACAGATAGTTCCATACATCACCCTTGAAGGTATAGTGAATATTTAAAAAGATAGAGGCACTATGAAAAGCCGAAGAGGCAAGGAAGTAGGGTAATTTAGCTCCGAATGCTAACGCACTCATTCGGCAGACGGACCAGTTTAACGTCGTGATCATAGACGAGTTTAATAATTTTGTCATAGTATTCAATATTATATCACACATGAAAAAGTAGAACTGATAAACACAACTATTTAAATAAAAAGGAAAGAAGCAAAGGGGGAAGGGCTTGCTTTAGCAATACACCATTGACGATTTAATGGATTAATATTTTAATGTTTAACATGTTATCCCATGTGTGCACTTTTTTATAAAGTATATTC